CTCCGCACTAGGCACAGGAAAGTGGCCGTCTAGGGCAGGAGAGCTGCCAGCCTGGCCACCCAGGACCAGGTGTGCATGAAAATCAAGGGGGTCCACTGAGACCCCCGACACTGAGCCCTGAGCTTACAATGGCCGTCCTGGGTCAGACCAAAGGTCCATCTAGCCCAGTAGCCTGTCTGCCGACAGCGGCCAACACTAGGGACCCTGGAGGGGCTGGACCGACGACAGTGACCAAGCCATTTGTCTCGTGCCATCCCTCTCCAGCCTTCCACAAACTTTGGGCAGGGACACCACTCCTACCCTCTGGCTAATAGGACTCCATGGACCCAACCTCCATGACTTGATCTCCCTTCCCTTTAAACTCTGTTCTAGTTGTAGCCTTCACAGCCTCCTGCAGCAAGGAGTTCCACAGGTTGACTCTTTCTTTGTGAAGAACAACTTTCTGTTACTAGTTTGAAGCCTGCTACCCATTCCTTTCCTTTGGTGTCCTCTAGTCCTTCTTTATGGGAACTCAGGAAGAACTTTTCTGAATGCACCCTCTCCACCCAACCCCTGCTTTTAGAGACCTCTATCCTGTCCCCCCTCCGTCTCCTCTTTTCTAAGCTGAACAGTCCCAGTCTCTGTAGCCTTTCTTCATCTGGGACCTGTTCCCAACCCCTGATCATGTTAGTTGCCCTCTCTTCTCCCAGCCTTTCTCTTCCCCTCTCCCACCTCCTTTTCCCAGTCTCCCCCAGTTTTTTTTCAATAAAGACAGAGTCAATGTTGGAAGAAACGTTATCTTTATTTTGTACTACATCAGGAAGGGGGGCTAGGGAAGGGTAAGTGGAAGGAGGTGAGGGAGGAATGGGGTACGAGCCCCCGATGGGGAGGACTGGGCTGGCTCTGCGGGCTTCTGGGGGTGGAAGCTCTCCTGCAGCCCCCCAATTGCCCCCTCTCTCCAGATGGCAGCCTGTGTCAAGTGCAGCCGGTCTGATGGCTGAGTGCTGTGATGTGCCCAGTGTGGGCACTCCGGGCACTCCAAGCCAGGACTGGTTTTCAAGCGGGGCACCCTTGAGAACTGTCTGTCCGGGGTGGGGGTCGGGTCCCTTTAAGCGCAGTCCTCGGCTAGCCTGAGACAGCATCTCCACGCTCTAAGTCCTCCTCTGATGCCCTGCCGGCACTGCTTCCGGCCATCCTTAAGCCCTGTTCAGGGTCCACTCAATGTGGACATGCTAGTTCGAATTAGCAAAATGCTAATTAGAACTAGTTTTTAGTTCTAGACGCGTTAGTTCGAACTAACTCTGTAGTGTAGACATACCCTGAGTGTGTGTGGCAGTGAGTATGTGATAGTGACTATGTGTGATACAGTGTGTGGCACAGACTGGGTAAGTGCAGGAGTGGCCTGAGGCCAGCTGTGGCAGCTTGGGCCCTAGGCGGGGTGGCACAATCGGTGCTCCTGCCTGCATGGCCGTCAATGGCCATGACATCATCATCGGGCGCCCGGGCGAGTGGCACCATAGGTAGCTGCCTAGCTCTCCTAGGCTCACGGGCCGCCTGTGGGTATGTGTGACAGTGACACTGCGTGTGTGTGTGTGCATGCGCGCACTGGCTGCTGGTGGATACATTTCTGAGAGTAGCCATATGCTGTCTCTTCAAGGGAAATCCGTCCTGCTCTGTTGTCTTCCCCCTCCCGCCATGCTCTGCATTCATCTGAGTCACTTACCATCCATGCTTCAGACTGGATCAATTTTCCATGTGTCTCCCTACTTCTGATCTCTGCTCTGCAGAAATGGAGTATAGGGGCAGGGGGCACCCTGAATTCAGCACTCCCCTCTCCCTTCCATTCTCCCCCCTCCCTCTGCACAACTAGCAGGAGAATCCTGGGAGCAGCTTGGCCACAGGATAGCACACGGTGGGGGAGGGGCAGCTGAACATACACTGCCAGCTGCAAGTATGCACCTCTGCTAATCACCTGGATGGACTGGAGAGAGATGCATGGCAGGCCCCACCAGGCCCCTGTGGCCTGATTATGCACACACCTGTCCTATAGTCTTTGGATCCCCAACAAGTAAATCAGCGTAGCTCCGCTGAGGTCAATAGAGCTTCAGATATCAGTTAATGTAAAATGAGGCTCTGATGCATAAGATGTAATAAGTTCATCAAAATTAATCCGACTCCTGAGGAAACAATTGCATATAACTTAAATAGGAACTTCCCTAAAGGAAAATGTTACTTTTCAGAAATTATGTAAATTTTAATCTCATGGAAAATGACTAGTGAACTACAGGAGTCCTCTTTTAGGGTACGTTATAACAACCATTATTTCGAATTAACTTTACTAGCATCTACACAGCCAAACCGCTATTTTGAAATAAATTCGAAATAGTGGAGCACTTATTTCGAATTTGGTAAACCTCATTCTATGAGGAATAACTCCAAATTCGAAATATCTAATTCGAAATAAGTGCTGTGTGGACACTTATTTCGAAATAGGGGGCCTCCAGCCTTCCCAGGGTGCCCTGGCGGCCGCTCCAGCCTCAAAGAAGAACACTCCTCTTTCTCCCTTCCATCCCCAGAGCCCTTAAAGGGGTTGACTCTGGCCATGGTGCCTGTGCCAGCTCCAAGCCTGCCACCCCAGAGCCAGCAGTCACTGCCCCTGACCCAGTGGCCCCAATACATGAGCCAGCAAGCCACTGGCAGCCAGCCCTCCACCGCTCCCCAGGAGCAGTCTGCCAGCTCCCAGGAGCCTGCAAGGGCCTGGAGAAGGCGGATGCCTTCCTGGTCCAGGGTGGAGATCATGGACCTTATTCAGGTTTGGGGGGGATGCCCCCAACATACATGATCTCCACACTAGACCGAGGAATGCAGCCATCTATGGCAGGATAGCTGCCAACCTGCCCACCAAAGGCCACATATAAACCCAGGAACAGGTTTGCATGAAAATCAAGTTGGTCCGGCGAGACCGCCCAACCCTGAGCCCTAAGCTTCCCCTCCCCCTTCTGCCCTTAGTTTCCCCCTTCCAGCTCCCTCCTCCCCCGACCCCCCCTCCTAGTGTCACCAGTTTCATTCCTCCCCCCGCAGTTTTGTTAAATAAAGAGAGTTTATGTTCAAGAAAATACATGTATTTTATTTGACATCAGGAAGGGGGGCTGGGAGGGTAAGTAGAATGATGTGGGGGAGGAATGAAGCACAAGCCCCCAGTGGGGCAGACCAGGGAGGCTCTTAGTGCTCCTCAGGGTGGAAGCTCTCCCACAGGGCCTCCTGGATGGCAGCCTGCAGAAAGTGCAGCCAGGCTCACGTCAACGCATTCACAAAAAGCTCCCGAGTGCCCAGGGGCAGCTCCGGCTCCATGTTGCAGAGTGCTGTGGTGTCCTGAGTGAGGGCAACCAGAGCACTCAGAGACACAAATGCTTTGCTGTCCCTCATTGAGGTAGGCAAGCAAGCAGGGAAAGCTAAGAACTGGCTGCCTGGGGCAGAGGTCCCTTTAAGCACAAGCCTCAGGCAGCAGCCACACAAATAAACTCCTGACCTGATGCCCTTCTGGACCTGATTCCAGCCAGTCTTCAATGCAATTCATTGTCCACTCAGTGTGGATGCGCTATTTCGAAATAGCAAAACGCTATTTCGAAATGCATTTTGTGTGTAGATGTGTTATTTCAAAATAACCTATTTTGAATTAACTAATTCAAAATAAGATATTTCGAAGTAACACTGTACCCTGAGTTGCTAGTGAACTGTCCTCAGAAAATGGTGGTTTCTGTACTGTTATCCCACTTAAAAAATCAGCTGAACTAAGCCTGATACACCAGCAAGATCCCTGAATTTTGTGACTTCACTTTTTTGGAAATGCAGAGGGGGAAACACATGACTCTGAGATTTATAACACAGCCCGAATCCACTTGCAGGTAGTTGGTATGATCATAGAATAGATTAACTGCAAAGACTAGTTATCCTTAAAACATGCCCACAAAAGAAATTTGCAGCAGTTAAACATAAATTAAGGGGGTTAATCCATGTAGCTTAAGGTGATGCAACCTTCTGTACGGACTCAATTCATTTTAAGATGGAATTTTGTGGTTTAGTTTTAACCTGTTCCCAGTGGCGTTAAGCTCATTCCCATAATCCTCCTCTAATAGAGCCATGCAGTGCATCATGGGAAATACAACATAGCCAGAGAGCCTGGCCTAAAGGAGACATTAGGCACAAAACTACAACTCACGTGAGGCATTGCTGCACATTAGGCTGATGCAGTTTAATGTCAAAGTAAGTTGAAACAAAATATATTAACATTATCCAATGAAAGTTTGTCAGATCAGTTTCATTTCATGGGGAAAAAATGATATTTTTGACTTTTCATTCTAATTTGGGATGAAAACAAATGTCAACACATTAGAATTTCCCACAAGTTGGACATTTTTAATTTTTGTTCAGCTCTCCTCAGAAGCAACACTTGAAAAACCAATGACTTAACACAGTTTTATAAAAATATAAAAAGCTCAGTACTCAGTGATTCAGCTGACATCAGGAGATTGGTGCTGTGAGGTCCTCTCATCAGATGCTTTGTCTGGAGGGGTTTTCAGAGGGATTCAATAGTCACCGCTGGTAACTCTTGCTGGTTCTTTGTGTAAGAAAAATTTTCATAGTAAGGGTCATCAGAATTGTAATGTCTGTGGATAATGTCTGACTGAAGCATCAGACACCTAATCTTGCCTTAACATTCTTTGTTGCTGGCAGCTATTTGATGGCATCAATGCAAAACATTTGAATATCCAGTGGCTCCGCTCTCAAATAGGAATAGTCTCCCAAGAGCCAGTGCTCTTTGACTGCAGCATCGCTGAGAATATTGCCTATGGGGATAACAGTCGGAATGTGCCACTGGACGAGATACAAGAAGTAGCAAAAGCAGCAAATATTCATTCTTTTATAGAAGAACTTCCAGAGGTAAGTTTCAGAATATCAAAGTCTGGTGATTTTTTTTATATCAAATCACTAGTATTGTTATGTAACTTTCAGCATTACTGAAATAAGAGTGCTTGATTTCATGTTTCAATCCTACTTTTTTTTTAATGAGATGTTCTATTCCATAGGACTTTCCCCATCACCAGTAGATCAATAGCTGAGTCACAGTGAGTGCACAAGACCAGTAGCAAGATCTGTACGTTGCTCCCAACTTTGGGCCTTGCTCTGAGCCACAATGGGAAATCCAGTGATACTCAAGAATATATTTTCTATTCATTTCTCCATCACAAAGTATAGAGGGGGGGATGGTCAAAAGGAAACTTGTAGATTATTTAATTCCACATATAGTTGCAATGTAATATAAACATTAATCTCTTGCTTTATCACCTCTGTTTTGTTACAACAGAAATACAGCACTCGGGTTGGAGATAAAGGAACACAACTCTCTGGTGGCCAGAAACAACGAATAGCTATTGCAAGGGCTCTTCTCCGGCAACCAAAAATTTTGTTGTTAGATGAAGCCACTTCTGCTCTTGATAATGAGAGTGAAAAGGTAACTTGTCTATGTTTTAATAAAAGATGACTACTACTACTACTACTACTTCTACTACTACTACTAATAATAATAATAATTAATAATAATTAATAATATGCAGGAATGTGTGTCTCTAGACTGGAGGCAGTACTGTGGAAACAAACAGTAGTACTAAGGAAAAGACGCAAATGTATTTATATGTAGCATTTCGTTTGGAGCTTGTAATAGGGTGATAGCTTGCAATATCAGACTTGGCTTTCTGATGCCTAGTAGGGTTCACAGCATCCACATCCTTTCTGGGGTATTTTCCTTTTCTTTTCATGACTGTTAGTTGCTGTGATTCTGAACTGTACATGAAGGGGGTACATGTACTAGAACTTCAGAGGGGTAGCCGAGTTAGTCTGTATCAGTATAAACTTAAAAAACAACAAATAGTCTAGAAGCACCTTAGTCTTTAAGGTGCTACTAGACCAGTGGTCTCCAACCTTTTTACCCCCAAGATCACTTTTTAAGTCTCAGAACAGGCGAAGATCTACTGCCCCGCCCCTTCCTTGAAGCCCCGCCTACATTACATGAGGAAATCTAATTAAATGCACTGCGCAGGTGCGCAGTTCAGAGAGGGCTCAAGAGCTACTCTTGGAGCCCCTGAGATCTACCGGTTGATCACGATCTACTGGTTGGTGACCACAGTACTAGACTATTTGTGTTTTATGTTTTTCATATACTAGAAGTAAGTTGTGTGTGCATTTTAGTTTAGAAATAATCTCCTAGTGGGTTTCTTGGGGGGCAGGGTAGATTGGCCTTCTGGTTTTTGAACATTCGAATTTAGCTATTCTACATTTCCCCCCTCCCCTCCCCACTCTCACTCTTCTTTATTTCTATTTTGTGCTTCCACCTTTTGGCTAACTTTTCACCTGGGGCTGCATTCATCCAGTGCTTGCCAACCTGCTAATACAGATCATTTCTCACTGGTCTCTACTTTTTGCACCTCTCTAGTATCTTCCTTGAAGGAAGAGAATTGCAGCTGTGTTTGTACAGGCTGTGCAATGCCTAAAATTATTGTATGAACTAATGAGATTACCTGCTCAGGAATGTTTTAAGACTACTATAGAGCTTGCTGTTGCCTGCTCAGTACCACTTAATACAGTATTTCACTGTTTAAGGTCACAGTAGCATGGCACACTCTTCTGTGGGTTACCTGGACATGCCTGCCGATATCATGTGTATTTGAAGACGTGTTCTAGAGGAATTACTGTTCAAATAAGATTGTACATTCTGAATTGATAGCCAGAGGAACTTGCATTATTTCACTAATTTGAACTGAGATGGGTAAAATACTCCCCAAAACGACTTAGAGTGATTACAAAGGTGTGAGAGAAAATCATCGGAACTCCACCTGAATCCTGTGAGATCTTCCAGAATAACGTGGTATTTCATGGATTCTCCCTCAACCATGGTATAGCTGCAGCAAGTCACAACTGCTAATACTGTAAAGGACAGGTGTTCATACCCTGACTCGCACTGAATACACCTTACTCCACATGTAGCTTCACTGAAATCAATGGCAACGAAGTAGGCCCTAAGTGCCTTAATAGCCGAAAAGAAAATAGTTAAAATTGTCTTCTATTTTTGAATGAACACCAGCCGGCCTATATGGACTATTGGAGGAAACCTCACATGTATTTTGCCAAGGCCCTGTCTATATCACAGAATTAACCATGTTGAAACACCATTGAGAATCTGTGCTCACTTGTCTGGATAGTGTCAGGGTGAAGGAGGAAAATGTATATTCCCTAGAT